TTTCGCTTATTTTTATTTTAAACGAAGAAGGGATTTTCTTCATAAAATGTTTGTTATAAATGTCTTAATTTTAAGTGTGAAGTTTTATTCGCAAACTTAAAAAATAATAAATTGTTTCACTGTTAAGACACTTAAGATGCGTTTGTGTTTGGATATAGTGCCAACAGAAAAAAATATTACATGTAGATATTGTCTTCCCAGATAGCGCATATTCAATTCTGTCTAAATTACAAAACATAATTTTTGCCCACTCCCAAAGGTTTAAGGTAAGGGAAAAATTGATATTTTCAAGCCCTATGTACACATATGTATTTTTTTAAACAAACTTTTTTGCTGAGAACTTATTTAAATTCCAAAAACCAAATACGAACTTGAATTAAAGGAACCAACACTGAAGTGAGTCAAAATGAAAATAAAAGAGCACAAATTTCTATGTTAAGTAAAACTCTCTGGGAATCGTACGATACATCTGCCGGTAATATGACCGGTCATCTAAATGGGAGATATGCAGTCTTTTGGCATCATATTTTACATCAGAATTGAAGGGATTTCTGGAAAATCTGACCAGTTCTTTTGTGTAACTGTGTTTTGCATCCATTGTCAACATATGGCCTCGGTTGATGTTAATTTAAGGTCGTTATTTTACTGCCTTAAAATTGAAGGGAAATTTTTACAGCGTTTTTTATGTGGATTGGTTTCTATTTGAGTGTATTGAGAATCGGCCAGTCTGAAAAGGCCTTGTAGGGAAGACAATAGGTTTGTTCGTCGAAAATCCAGCGAGAATTATCACTCAAAATATCAGATAGTAAGAAAAAATGCTCCCAAATTCTCTCTTATGTAGAGAAACTTGCATTTTTCTATACGAACGCAAATTTGCAAGTTTTTCTGCCAGATAGTGTCCACGGTTGCATTTCGAACAAAAGAAATTTGTATAGAATTTTTAAAATTCTTTCAGAGGGGCAAACAACAGGATCTACGTGTATATATCTTGTCAGTCCAACTTTCTTCAACATACGTTTCAATTTCTTTGTCGGGTTTACTATATCGACGCTGGTTGAGATTGTATTCCGATTAAGAATACAGCTTTTTTTTGCCGAGTACCTTCCAAATCATTGGAATTAACTAAATTAATTAAGCAAACAAGTATTAACTTACATTTTTATACCCGAGCGCACTTGTGCACAAGGGTATATTAATTTTGTTCACATAACGGTTGTTTGTAACAGCCAAAACGAATCGAGATAGATATAGACAAATGTATACATAAATGATCAGAATGAAAAAAGAAATTGATTAAGCCATGTCTGTCTGTCCGTCCGTCTGTCCGTCTGTCCGTCTGTCCGTCCGTCCGTGTACACGATAACTCGAGCAAAAATTGAGATATCTCAACGAAATTTGGTATGTAGGTTTTTGTTAATCCAAGGTAGGTTGGTATTGAAAATGAGCGAAATCGGACAATAACCACGCCCACTTCCCATATAACGGTAATTTCCAGAAATACGAAAACTGCGATATTTTAGTAACTACTGAAGATAATTCACTCAAAATTGATATTTACAATAATTTTTAGACGAAAAATAAGAATATTATAAATTTTTGGAAAATGGGCGTAGCCATGTGTATATCTTGGTAACCGCTGCACCAATTTCTTCCAAACTTGGCACAGTTGTTGGCCTTCGCACAACATACCAAATGGCCGAAAATTTTTAAAATCGCTCAATAACCACGCCTACTTCCTATATAACGGTAATTTTCAGAAATACGAAAACTGCGATATTTTAGTAACTACTGGAGATTATTCACTCAAAATTGATATTTATAATAAGTTTTAGACGAAAAATAAGAATATTATAAATTTTTGGAAAATGGGCGTAGCCACGCCCGCTTATGGTTACATGTGTATATCTCGGTAACCGCTGCACCAATTTCTTCCAAACTTGGCACAGTTGTTGGTCTCCGCACAACATACCAAATGGAAGAAAAGTTTTAAAATCGATCAATAACCACGCCCACCTCCCATATAACGGTAATTTAGAGAAATACATAATCTTCGATAAATCAGTAAATATTGAAGCTAATTTATTCAAAATTGATGCTTCCAACAATTCTTTACCAAGAAATACGTTTATGGTAAAATTTTGGAAAATGGGCGTGGCACCGCCCACTTATGATCACATATAAGTATGTATATCGGTAACCGTTCTACCAATTTGTACCAAACTCGGTGTGGTTATTGTGCTTGCCACATATAAGCAAAACGTTGAAAATTATTGAAATCGAACTAAAATAACGGCCGCTTCTCATATAACGATAAATTTCAGAAATCCTTGAAACTTCAATATTTCGAAATTGAAGGACGCTAATTTACTCAAAATTGATACACCCCGGCTTACCATCTAACGGAAGGTTTCGGAAAGGTGAAAAAACATATATTTAATACTTGCGCCGGGTATTTAATGTTCGGCTCCGCCCGAACTTAGACTTTCTTACTTGTTCATTTTAAAATCGCTCCAGTTTGTAAATTTTAAAATTTAACGAACTTGTGTATTCAAATTATCGGCGACGAAAAATCCAACCATGTGCCACAATCATATGTTTTTCCTAATTGCAAATTCTTGCTGGCGAAATTTTTTAAGGCTCGAATTCGTAAATTATCTCCAAGAAATAGTCTATTTACTCGTGATTTATTTGAATAAAACATGTGAAATTTAGTTGAAACATTTTAGCCGTTTTTAGCCGGTTTTATTTGCTAATTTAGCCGGTTCGTCAAAAAAGTTCTGGCAACACTAGTCAGAAGTTACAGGATTTAGTCTGGAGTTTTTTTTCCTGTAAGTTCATGAAAAGTGTCAAACGATCAGCTGATTTGCACGTGCAAACAAAAACAGAAAGCGGTGTAAGCAAAGAACCTTATATTTGTAAAAAAATTGAAGTAAACCAAGAAATATTTGAAGACGTATAGATTTTAATAATTAGTTGGTAATATTTCAGCCAAATCATGTTGTCCAAATGACATGTAAACAAACCGACTGACGTTTTTACAGGAAATAGTGCTTTTTGCGTGCCCGTGCACTTCTGCATCTGTTCTCCTTTTACTCTCACTTGAGAGAGTAAAATAGTTGTTACAGTTCCACAGGTTTTAGTCCGAAGCTCAAAGGAACAGACTATTTGTGTTTCTCTCTCACATGGCAAGCATCAACTTTTTTAGTGATGCCGTAAATATTTGTATGATACCAGTGTTGCCACGGACAAATTTTTTTCCTACCAAAAGCAACCAAACCTACCAAAATTTTTTTTAGTTTTTAAAATTTTTTTCAATGTCATGTCAGCTCTTCCCTTGCCTTTAAACCCTTCATGCCCCACCACAGCGTTATGCTATTGTGGGCTCCCAGGTAGTTGAAAACATGTGTCCACAAGCCTTGACCAGAGTCTAAGGCATTAACCGCTGCCTGACCATCCGAATTAATATTTATTATGGCCACATTTGCCCTTCTACGAAGACATTCGGGAACACAGACTTCGATTGCGGAGACTTCCGCCAGGAATATCGTTGGGTATGCACCCATTGGAATCTTGGTCCAAGTATGGCTGCCACATTATTCCCGCCGTCCACATTCGATCTGTCGGTGTATCATACTTGTGACCAGAGTTGGGCATTATTCGAATAAATTCTTATTTAGATAATTATTCGATTAAAATTTTATCCGTAATATAATTATTCGCAGATAACTCATTCACAAATAAATTATTCGTGAATAAATTGCTTTCGAATAATTTATTCGTTATTTTAAATAATGAATAAAAACTCATTTTTAATACATTGAGCCACCTTTTACTTTTATTTCTATTGTCAACGATTGTGAGTTAGCTGAATCCTGTTTACTATTTTATCAAGAATACTAGCCCATTCCCTCTGGTTTCGCGGCCCCTGATAAGATTTTTTGCGTTGGCCAATGCAAGAATAGCGTTGAAAACCAAATATGGGTAAAGTAAAAATTCTTAATTTAGGTTGAACAACTAAAGAACAGAACCCTTCTCACACATATTTCTGCCAAAAAAATAGCGCTCTGATGCTATATGCAAGAAAAAATCCCTTTCAATATCATGAGCTTTACCGATGGTCTTGTTTCCACTTGTGAGATCTTTTCTAAGTGTGCGTAATCTTCTTCTATGATCTTGCAACTACAACATTGGTCCGATGCGTCAACCTCTAGTCTTATGTCATGTAGGCCAACACAAGTCCTTATAAGGAAGCTGAAGAGCACAGATGTGCGTTTTCTATTATAAGAGAGCCAAAAATCCTCGATGTAAAATTTGGCCATTGATATACCAACAGTGGTCTTTCTTGGAAAGATGTGGTCGAAACTTTCCTTGCTGATTCGCCACTTTTAAAATATCCAAGAGCTGGTTTCCTTGAGTCTTACTGCTGCAGCAATGGCCGTACGAGCAATTTCATCAGGCGGAGGTAGATGCAAGGTCACATTTAGGGTGTATGACGACGTGAGACATCGTAAATTCGTATAATATAAACATAAAAAACA